AGAGAGAGAGAGAGAGAGAAAAAAAGGGGTTTGTATAAAAAGAGAGAGAGAGATCAAAACTTAATAAATGAAGGGAATGAGTATAATTTTTGTTCTCCAGTATGATAAAAGGAACTTCACACGAAAAATATTTTTTTTATGATAACTGCATGCATGTTATGCAACAATGAAATATAACAATTACAAGCTTTTTTTTTTTTTACATCTCATTTACTACACTGTGTGTAGTAATGATCAAACGTCATTTACACAGTAGCCCCCTGACAAGGTTTTCATCTGCTTTTCTTGTGTTCACCAAAATATGACACAGATCAGATCCTGCTGCAGTCCCTCATCTTGTGATTTACTACAAAGTTACAGTGTTGAAGCCCAACAACTGGCGGAAAATAGACGGATGACTAATCATCTCAGCCTTGGCAAAGTCACTTGCCTGAAGCTCAAGGATTGCTTTTTAATGACAAAAAGTACAGCTTATTTGATAAATGAGTGTTACTATATATTGCAGCATGTCAGGAATTTATTAAAGTGATTCTAAAGTCTACAATTTAATTTTTTTTTTAATAAACTGGTTTATACTTACATGCTGCATGCAATGGAATTGCACACAGTGGCCCTTAACCTCCTTCTGAGATCTCCCACTGGCACACCTTGCTCCCCCTCTTCTCACTGTGCCACCATAGGAGGCTGCTTTCTATTATGGCACACTTCTATCCTGAGCCTCGCTGTCTGTGTCCATTGACACAGACAGAGAGGCTCTGCCCCTGCTCCCTCCTCACAAGACTTTAGTGGTGCACCGAAATGAAAATTCTGGTGCCGAAAATGAAAATTCAAAATGCACTTGGCCAAAAACCAAAATGCGCAGTTTTTAAAAAAAGAATATATATTTTGGGAGAAAAAAATACACCGATTAAAAAAAAAAAAAACATATATATATATATATATATATATATATCTCTCAATTTTTTTGTAAAATATGAAAGAGTATGTTACGGCGAGTAAATAGAGGTCACGCTTTAAAGTTGTACACGCTCGTGGAATGGCGTGAAACTGCAGTACTTAAAAATCTCCATGGGTGATGCTTTAAAAATTTCTACAGGTTAGCAGTGTAACGTTACAGAGGAGGTCTAGTGCTAGAATTATTGCTTTTGCTCTGACATTCGTGGCGATACCTCACGTGCGTGGTTTTTAACACCATTTACGTATGTGGGCATGGCCTACATATGCGTTCACCACTATGTGCGAGCATGGGGGCACTTCAAACTTTTTTTTTTTTAATTTAATTTTTTTCTCCACTGTCCTTTTAAAAAAAATTTTTAATGCATGCATCTCTTGTGATAGAAATAATTAGTGTCAGGTCCTCTTTATGGAGAGATAACTGGTCAAAAAGACCCGACATCAATCCTCTACAATGTCAAGTATTGGATCAAAAAAAAAAAGCATTGATCTAGTGCTTTAAAGAAAAACAAAAATGGCAGGAACGGGAAGCTTCGGTCCTCCAGGGGCATAGAGATGAGTGGCAGCCACCTTTCCTTCACTCATCTCTATGCCCAGCGCCGGTATTGATGGTTTCTAAGGTAAGCCTGAGAACTACCAAGCGGCGGCGACAGCAGGCAGGTGGGCGGCGAGCACCAGGGTTTTTTCGGCACCTGTATCGGTGCTTTTTCTCATTTCGGCCAACGGCCAAAAGGGGTGTTTTCAGCCAAAAAGTTTCAGCCACCGAAATTTCCAATTGGCCAATCAGTGATCACATGCAGAGTAGTAAGCAAGATGTCACTTGTGACATCATTGCTTACTACGTGTGAAATCTGTGAATGATCACAGAGGTCACATGGTACAAGGCTATCCACAACAGCCTTGTACCATGTGACAAGCTGTGACCAATCACAGCTCACTCAGTAGTTCTCAGTGGCTACAAGAATGCAGCCAGAGAAGGAGAAATGATTGCTTTTACATGCTTTATGGGTGTAAAAGCAATCAGTGTAAAAAAAAAAAAAAAAAAAATCGTCATCACCCCCCACAAGTAGTACAGTGTCACCATGGTGACACTGTACTGCTAGGATGACAGTATATATATAAAAAAAAAATAATAATAATATAAAAAAAATTTAAGAAAATGTTTAAAAATTATAATTTTTGGTTATAAACTAATTTGGGCTATTTTTTTTACTAAAAATAGAATGGAAAAAACTGTGGCCAAGATTTATGATGAAATATTATTTATTTGCAAAATTTTATAAGAAAAACTTTTTTTTCAAAATTTTTGGACTTTTTAATTTACATAGCAAAAAAAATAAAAATCCCAGTGGTGAATAAATACCACCAAAATAAAGCTTTATCTGTCTCAAACAAATGCTAAAAAATTCATATGGGTACAGTGTTGCATGACCGCGTAATTGTCATTCAAAGTGTGATAGCACTGAAAGCTGAAAATTGGCCTGGACAGGAGGGGGGTAAAAGTGTCCGGACTGGAAGTGGTTAAGATAAAAAGTGCTTAAAGTGCTCACTCACTGTATACAATGCTCCTCTCCTGCCCCCTTCCTTGCACACACTGCCCACCCCCCCCCCCCCCCCCTACAAAGAGGACCTGTCACTTATGATTTTATTGCTATCACATAGGGTACCAATAGTTCCCTATGTGATAGCATATAAGTGAAGGGTCCTCTTTGTAGGGGGAGAGGCAGTGGGGGGGCAGTGTATACAGACAGACTCCCTCACTGGCTGCTGCTAAATGTCACTGACAGTTTTTAAATGGAATTACTGGCTTTTTTTTCTTCACTATACTGTAGCTCCAAGAAGGAGCTGTCATTTGCCTTGCCGCTAAAGTAAACAAAGGGGCGGTGGTCACCCAGTAACCCCGCCCCTTTGTTCACTTTAGCAGTGGGGTGAATGGCAGCTGCTTCTCAGAGTTATGAAAAAAAAAAAAGCCAGTAATTGCATTCAAAAACAGTCAACAACATCGAGCACAGGCCACTGAGGGAGACTGTCTGTATACACTGCTCCCTCACTGTATGCACTGCTCCTGTCCCCTCCTTGCACACACTGCCCCCACCCTCACCCCCTCCTTCCTACAAAGAGGACCTGTCACTTTTATGCTATCACATAGGGGACTATAGGTCCTATGTGATAGCAATAAAATCATAAGTTTCCCCACAGTCTCCCCACATAAGCAGACATTTCAGTTTTCGGCCCAGTGGATCCTAAATTTTCGGTAGCAGAATTTTCATTTCGGTGCAGCAGTACAAATAAGTAATATTTTTTCTTAATTTATGTGCACTGATGGGCACTAATGATCAGTGCTCTGATAATCAGTGCAAAGTGCTGACAGCCTTGATGGGTATTGGCTGTCTCTTCCTCACACAGACACTGCGTGTGAGGAGAAGAATGATAACTGGCAATCTGATGAGATCAGCTGTGATTGGAAACAGCTAATCACATAGTAAATGGCCGCTGTGATTGACCCTTTATCCCGAACTGTAATCAGCTGTGGCCAAAGGACACCCCAAGGAGAGGCGCATTCTGGCAGCATGTCTATAGAACAAGAGAACCACACTGTAGCTGTCTTTTAGGTATAGTGCGGTATTAAAGTGGTTAATTCATACTTGTAAATTTACTAAAAAGTCCAATTTAACCACTTGTCTACCAGCACCCCTTTCTAAATGGAAGCTGGTAAACCCGGGATTTTAAACAAACTGTTTAAATTTGTTCAGCAGGCCATATGATTTCAGGTGGAAGTGTTTAGAGAAACTTCAAAGAACTATACTTATACGTGAACAGTTCTGATGGAATGCATAAACAGTCTAGGCATTTGATCACATGATATTGCAGAGTAGTTTCTGCCAATCAGATGTATAATTTTCCCCTTCAGAAGAGATTCTGGGACCAAATGTAAGACTGAATTCACACTGTTCTGTAAGTGTTGCAGAAAAGTGGTATCATACATAAGGAGGTATGAATGGGTTGATCTGGTTTTCCTTTTCATTTAATAGATGTAAACTAACCACAAATGAAAGAATAAGATTTCAACCTAAAATGCATTTTCATACAGCAGAAATGAAGAAATGTGAAAAGGTCCTTAAACGTCAGGTCACATGACAAAAACTAGGGATACTCTGGGACATGGTAGTGTGCTGGAAGCATTTCAGCCTGTATTCATCTCATAGCAAGATTGTTAACCAAGTTTTTAAATAAAAATTGAGTATGCATTGCTTTAAGCTAAACATGTATTTCATCCATCAATATATGCAGCTAACGATAACATGTCTGCTGGCCCTCAGTAAAGATGTGAGGAAAAGTGGTGTGAACTCTTGAATGGACTTTGCACCTCCTATGGTGATATATTTGTCAATTCCCCTTTACCATTTTTGCTGTTAAATGCTCAGAAAGCATTTAATCTGCATTCTGCTGCTGCACGCATGGCCCAGGGGGCACCATCTTTCTTTCTTATGTCGTTGGGAGCGAGCTCTTTCTTTCTGGTTAGTGCAGCTCGCCGATTGATGAATTGGGGATGCAGAATGTCAAGTTTATACATTGTCATGGTGTTGGCAATGTCAGCATGGTCTCATGTAATGACACTATGGCTGTAACTAGCAAAAATACAGTACTTTGTGCACAAAAAGGAAAAAACAATTTAATAGTACACTAAACAAGCCGATAATAAAATCTGTTAAATTTCTTTAACGCCTCCCGCCCGCCATATAGTACACGGACGGTTGCAAGGCAGTTCTCTCGTTCTGGGAGGACGTCATATGACGTCCCTCCCATTCTAAGTGTGCATGCGTGGCTCCGGGACCGCGCAGTGTCGCGATCCGCGGTGCGCTGTGTTCCTCGGACACAGCGAATCACCGATCTAAGGAAAGAGCTGAAGATGTCGGCTCGGTCATGTGATCAGCTGTGTCCAATCACAGCTGATCACATGTAAACAGGGAAATGCCGATTATCGCTGTCACGCTGACAGCTCATGAGGAGAGGAGAGCCAGTAATCGGCATTCCTCAGAGGGGACATGTACACAGATCATCAGAGCACTGATGATCAGTGTAGCCCTGATAATCTGTGTAGCCCCAGCAGTGCCACCTGTCACTGTCCATCAGTGCCAGCTGTCAGTGCTCATCCATGCCACCTGCCAGTGCTCATCAGCACCACATCAGTGCCACATTTCAGTGCCTACCAGTGCACATCAATGCCACATATCAGTGCTCATCTGAGCTGCCAGTCAGTGCCGCCTATCAGTGCTGCCAGTCAGTGCCGCCTATCAGTGCTGCCAGTCAGTGCCGCCTATCAGTGCTGCCAGTCAGTGCCATATATGAGTGCTGCCTGTCAATGCCCATCAGTGCCACCTACCAATGCCTCATCAGTGCCACCTATCAGTGTCCATCAGTGCAGCCTATCAGTGCCCATCACTACAGCCTCATTAGCGCACATTTGTGAAGGAGAAAAATCACTTCTTTACAAAATTTTATAACAAAAACTAAGAAAAAAACATTTTTTTTCAAAATTTTCAGTGGTTTTTGGTTTAAGAAAACATAAAAAACCCAGAGGTGATTAGATACCACCAATATAAAGCTCTATCTGTCACAAAAAAAAGAAAAATTTCATATGGGTACAGTGTTGCATGACCACGCAATTGTCATTCAAAGTGCAACAGCGCTGAAAGCTGGAAATTGGCCTGGGCAGGAAGGGTGTAAAAGTGCCCTGTAGGCTACTGGTTAAACATTTATTTCATAGGTTTTAGGACAGGATGGTAGTATTGCATTCAGATGGTTTATCCAGCAAGTAAGATGGAGATTTTGGCCGCAGAATGTGGGCGGGATGTTGTATAAATAGAGTCCGGTGGTGTCTGACGCTTACTGCCTATGAGAAAGTCGACTGAATGACGAAACGCATCAGAAGATGTGACGTTAGACGCAACCAGAAGTTGCGCGGCAGCCATTCTGGAGATTGGTTGAATCAAGCTGTTTGTACCTCAAACCTATGTAGGCGCAATTTTGTATTATTAAATTGATCTTTCAAGTAATACTGGGAGCATGTTTTATCTTTTATGATCACTGAGAATACATGAGGAAATTGAGCACGCTGATTACATGAAAAGGCTATTCACAAGACATGCAGGGTAAGGTGCATGCCTGAAGGGGAAGGGATAGAGCACGTTTGATTTGTGCACACAGGTGGTGGATGGAGCAAGGTCCAGGGGTGTGGAAATTTCTTAAAGAAACTACTTGTCCAAGGGACTAAATCAGGGTTCCCAATCTACTTGTCCCCCATGACATTTCACTTGTCCCAATAAAAAAAAAAAAAATGTGTATATATATATATATATATATATATATATATATATATATATATATATTTATTTTTTTTTTTTTTTTAACACCTCCCTGCCTGTCTGCAGCACCGCATATGGGGACTAGCAGGGAGGGGACAGACCTTGCAGTGTGATGAGCACCGATTGGGTGCTCTTCAGGAAAGGGGAGTGTCAGGCTCTCTCAACGAGTAAATGAGAAAAAAAGCCAAAACGCTTTATTTCTTCAGGTTTTCCTCGCACAAGGAAGCACTTGGGTGTCAGTAAAAAGTGTATGCTGAGCAGCCAAATAATACTCCAGTGTAGCATGAAGATGTGCATCCTGTGAAGATCTGTATCTCCTGCAGCAACTGTGCATGCGCCAGAATCAGGGAACAAGAGCTGAGCACTGAGCTAAAGCCGAAGAGGTACCTGAAGTCACTTAACTCCTTACATGCCGGACTACAGCACAGGCAGAGGAGTGGAAGGAAGGGGAAACAAATTGATCATTATTATTCACTCAGCTTCAGTGCTGACAATAAACCAGGCTAGAGCTGCTCATATCCCCTTTAGTAAAGTGCACAGCTCCTTGAGGCTGATCATCTGCTTGCCTGCAGCAGGGCTGTCAAAGAAAACCACCTACCCGGCGCCCTGAACTCCATGTCCCGGGCGATATGATTTGCACATCCCTGATGGTCACATGTATTTTGGATGTCATTCACATAAAGAGTGAAAAGCACATTTCCACCCTAAGAGGGTAAGAGTATTTAGGAGAAGAGTGGTGGACACTTTTGTATTTTGTATATTATTTATAGTGCACAGGTGCAAATGCAGCATATTTGTATCAGAAATACTACACTATATTAGTTTTTTTTTTCTTTGGAGATTTGGATCAACATTGGAAGATCAAAGGAGAGAGAGATCTTTATGGCATACAACATATTCTGGGTAAAGAGATATTGGTGAGAAAACAGGAGGATTGGAGTACAAAGTGATGCGCTGTTTGCATATACATTCATTTCATAGACATATTTATTACTCCTCCAAACTTACCGGGCTCCCATGGTTTAATAGGCCAAGGCTCATCTTTGAGGGGGTTCAGTTTGCTAGCAGTCATAGCATCATAGTCCTGTCCTGCTACATGTTTTAGATAGTCTTTGTTTTCCTCCGAGAGGTGTTCATCCCACCATGTGACAGTCTGCTTGCATCGTACGAACAGCACCGCGGACATATAGCTGTTGGCAAACAGGATAGATTAATATTACATGAAAGCTTATTTAAAGTGTTACTAAACCCAGGACCCTGCAGTCACTACATCCGATTTCCCACATTACACACTACATGGAAATGCAATTGTTTTAGTAAATATATAACTGCTAAATACCTTTTCTTATCAGCAGTTAGAGCAATCTTGTGACTTCTATCAGTGTCCAGAAAAGCACTGGTTAAAGCTTGTAGTAGGAGTTTCCCTTTCTGCTCTAAAAGGATACAGAACCCCTGACCTCTGCCTGGACAGTACTGATTGGCCCTGTGCTCATCACTTGCAACCTGCCAAAAAAAAAAAAAAAAACCTCTCTAGCAATACACACCAAACTGAGCATGTGCAGAGTCTCCACACAATATGTCTGATCAGGAGATAAGGAGACACTGTAAGAAGGGGAGGATCAGCAAAGTCGGGCTCAAACAGCATTTTTACACAATGCAGAGGATTAACCCCTTAGGTTCCACAGTGAGTATAACAAGCATACTTTACTGCATATGCAGATTGATTTTACTGTAGTAAGTTTAGTAACACTTTAAGTTCTACTATTTTATAGCAAAAAGTTAAAAACATTGTTTTCTTTAAAATTTGTCAGTCTTTTTTTGTTTATATCGCAAAAAGTAAAAACAGCAGAGGTCAAATACCACCAAAAGAAAGCTCTATTTGTGGGTAAAAGGACATAAATTTAATTTATGTACAGCATTGCATGACCGCGCAATTGTCAGTTTAAGTAACGCAGCACCATATCGCAAAAAATGGCCTGGTCAGGAGGGGGGGGGGGGTACATCCTCTGGAGGGCAAGTGCTTAAAGTAAAACTAAAGGCAAAACCTTTTCTTTCTTTTTTTTTAATACAGTGGAGATGGATCATAATACCGGTCAGGCTTTTATTTCTGTCTGTGCCCCCATTAGGGAGATTCACCCTATTTGTCCTGTTTACTTTATCATCAAAAGTGAAAGTAAAAGAAAATCCCACATTTTGGATTATCCCTGGGACAGTAACAGAGGGGAAATCTTACAATAGGGTTCTGATGATACCCAGGGATTCCCATTCACGTCCTGGGACAAGAAGTGAATAGAAATCTCCTCAATGGGACCCCCCCTCCCGGACAGCTGCCATCAAAACATTTTTCCCATTGAAAGATGTCCCTCTAACCTCTGTACTGGTGACAATCAAAGTTTTGATTTCCGGTCATTTTCTGCTTCAGCGACAATGGTCATTAGAACAAAGCTGGTGAATCTCCTCAGAGGGGTCAAAAATAAAAACCTGACTTGTGGTTCTAAACCCTACCTACCTTATCCAAAATAGCAAAAATTATAAGAAATTCAAAAGTTTTAGGATATCAACAATAAAAATTTGTCATTATTATTCATATGCAAAATTTTAATCAGCATATTATATAGCAATGAAAGCATTATTGAACCATCTTAGAAGTTAGAATATGGTTCATAGCATATCCTCTGGATAGAGCTGTGTGCTGACGTTATCGCGTTCCTACGTTCCCGGAAGTGTGAGCGGTATGTGCGTTCTTGCTGGCTAAGAGGATTTTATATTGCAAAAGTGTGATTTTCATTTTAATAAAAATGGTATGAGAAAGCATTTACACTATGGACGGGTTTTGCCCTTATACTTCTATGTGAGCGTGGAGGAGATACGTGGAGTACCATCTTAATGAGACCGGGTCCTCTTGGAGAGCATCCTTAGCGGTGTAGTGATCTCTACCACAGTTGATATCTATGAGCCTTTGCGACCTTTCTGTCACTAGAAGGTCATTTGCAGCTGTTAAGCGTGCAATCTTACTATTTTAGCGGCAGTCTTCATATTACTGTCCATTTGATCCTATTGGTGATGAGCTTTTTAATTCACATTCAAGAACACTTGAAAATAGTGTATTTCACATATGTCGACTCTTTCATTGAGTGGATTTGTCATTAAGCACAGTTAATATTATCTATGTATATTTTCAACTTTTTTAACACACTGGTTTTTAACACTCTGGTTATTTACCGTATTTTTCGCTCCATAAAACGCACTTTTTTCCCCTCAAAAAAGGGGGGAAAATGTCAGTGCGTCTTATGGAGCAAATATGGAGCAGCCGGTCCGGTATTTCCACAGCCGCCGTGTCAGAATACTGGGCCGGCCGCTCAGCTCTGCAGCGGGACCTTACCTGTTCCTCGCTCCATTGCTGTGCAGTCTTCCCCCGCCGGCTTCTTTAGTGTGGGCACCCGGCTGTCAGCCGGGTGCCCAGTGCGCTTGCGCGAGTAGCGCTGCACTTTGTGAATGGTACGGCGTCTTCTGTGACACATGACAAGTCCCGGAAAACGGCGACCAATCACAAAGCGCAGCGCTTCACGTGCATGCGCACTGGGCACCCCAGCTATCAGCCGGGTGCCCACACTAAAGGGAGGACAACTCCGGCGCAAGTGTTCTTTCCTCCACCAGTAGTCTACAACTGGAGTGGGCGGAGTAACTGGGTGGAGTGGCTTGTCACTCTGCTGCCTGCTCACACACCTGGGTTCCTATGGCAACTCACTCTACAGCAAGGGCAGAGAAGAGAGGTTTAAAAACAAACTGCTCCAACTTGCTCACTTCACTGGCGGTTGCCATCTTCAAACGGTTGTAGTTTAAAAATTATAAAATCCTACACCAAAGAGCTTTATATTGTGAGAATCACAAGACCCAGACCTATTTTTTGATTTAGTATGTCTCTGAAATATTAAAAATGAAGGCACAGTCGCAGTTTAGAAATTGCCCTTCAAATTTGAGGTGGCTAGAGTGGAGTTTCAATGAATGTCAATGGGCGGCGTGAGTTGCAAACAAATGGTCATATTGTAAAAACTATCAGGACTATGGCTTAGCTTTTTAGTGGCAGCAGGGATAGCTGAACGTT